CCTGCTTCCCTTCTGCTGGCACTGGCCCTCTTCTGACCATTTCAATGAACTAACTTTCAGAGCACAAACCCTACCAAAAACCCTAAGAGCACCAAAACCATCTCCCTGAACTGATTTGCTCTTTAGTCAGATTCATACCAGTATCAGCACAAGAAAAGAATAGAAAGTAAAAGCATCCCCTTCTGCAGTAGTACTCGTTAGAGCAGACTTGGTAAGTCACACAACTGAACCCTACGACTCTACCTCTGAGGGCAAAACAATTAATGAAGGAGAAAGCGTTGGCACAGAACTGAAGCAAACAGCGCATTCAGATACTCTTTCACAGCGAGGACTGGAACCCTAAAGAAAGGCAAATCACTTTTTCAGCAGGTCCTGCAAATAAGCAGCTATATTTTTAGTTCATGGGACTTTGTGACTACGCCAGTTCACACCAAACTCCTACCCTAAAAAGAAACAAGCAGATTAGAAGTTAGCATAATGTTCATACATGACCTGGCCAAAACACCTACCAATACCATCACTGGTGTTGCAAAACCACATATGTAACTCTGCAGTTTCATAACAAATTATTTTTTTAATTGTGTAAGTGCAAAACAGTCACACAATTTTATAACAAAGCACATCAGTACTGATGCGAATTGCTATTTTGCCTGAAGGACAACAAGACTTCTCTCATTACGCTTGTCAAAGCTTTCAGATAAATGAAAATAAAGTCCTTCTCAAAGTTTTCCTGCAGATCACTTATGCAGCGTATCATAATCAAAATGTTGCATCTAAAAAATAAAGACACATCCTCAGTACCAGCTTTTAATTGCCTCTACATTTCCAGGCTGCTTCTGGGCTAAAATCTTCACTTTTGCTGAAAGCCATTTTTGGTAACTTTTCTGACTGAATATACTATTGTTTCAGAGCTAGCATTAGAAAAGTAAACGCACTTCTTCATTATTAAAGACTGAATACTTCTATGTTACATGTGTTATTTTAAAACCTTTTAAAAGCATAAGCATGCTTCTGTGTGCAGGGCTCAAAAATAAGTCCATAGCTACATATATTTAAGCTTGCTTTAACCCAGGGTAAGATTCGGATGGTCGGCGTTCCCTCCCCGCCCTATGAAGGCTGTCTGCGCGTTCCGGGGTGAGCGCTGCGTTACACCCACAGAACAGGAACGACTCCATCCCCAAGCCGCAGAGCAGCGAGCGCATTCCCACAGGTGGTGAACAACACTCGAAACGTATTTTAGATCTTTAAACCGAGGGACGGGCCGATGCTTGTTGGCACCAGCGGCAGCACACGGCTCACGCACTGCTCAAGGGCCCACAGGCCAGGCTCAACCCCTCTGACGGTCTCCTGGTCCTGCCAACTCCTGCCGACCACTGCCTAGCTTCTGCAGTACCAACCGCTGCGCGCTCTGTATCTATAAAGGCGCAGCTGAAGGTGGGGCCCAAGAGGAGATGGAGTGACTTCTCTCACTGCTCTTTACAAAACTGCCGTAAGCCCGTCTGGGGTTCCTTCCCAGGAACGCTGCTGGTTCATGGCTCTCTGCCTGGAGTGAGGGTACACGGCGCACAGGCGCACCGCACCGCACCTCCAGGCACCGCGGATGCAGAAGGCCCCGTTTCTGGCGGCGCGCAACCACCGGGAGCGTTTTTTTGAGGCTAAAACGCACTCCGGGAGGCGAATCCCCGACCCCCCGCCGCCCCCGCGCTGGC